TTTGGAGACAACCAAACACAGCATATCTGCATAAACACCTCATACCAACGGTGGAGCACGGTGGTGGAGGGGTGATGACTTAGGTTTGTTTTGCAGCCGCAGGACCTCGACAACATGCACTTATTGAGTAAAGCATGAACCCCTCTGTATACCAAAGTACTCTAGAGTCAAATGTAAGGCTGTCTGTCTGACAGCTGAAGCTTGGCTGAAACTGGGTCATGCAACAGGACAGTGATGCCAAGCAAAGCAGCGAATCTACAACAGAATGGCTGAAAAAGAAAAGAATAAAGCTACTGCAATGACCTAGTTAAAGACCAGATCTCAACCTGACTTAAATGCTGTGGTGAGAGCTGTACGCAAATAAACCTGCCCACAAACCACAATGAACTGAAGCGAGGTTAGAAAGAAGAGTAGGTGAAAATTGCTCCACAGCGATGTGAGAGACTAATAAAGTCATACAGACGTTAGTTCTGCTAAATGTGGTACTCTAAGCTATTGAAACATTCAGTGTACTTACAGTAGTTTTTCATTCACTGTTTCTCATATTTGGCTTATATTTTGTTAAATAAATAATGATGTGGGATAATAAGTCATGCTCTTGTTTATCTGTGGTTATAATTACATCATTTTGAGACTTGCTAAGTTTTTGTTGTATTATAACTCAATGTGTAGAATCTTTGAAATGAAAGAGGGTGGCTGTATCTTACATGAGTACAACAAAGTAACAATTGCAACTCCTGTAATTGTACTTATTCTTAACCTAAAAAACATAGAAACACTGAGTAGAGTTTTTTTTTTCAAAAACATATTCATTGGTGAAAGATTGTTCAAATGTTTTGCCCGTAACAAATTTAAACCGTGGTTTCTTTCTCTCTTTGTTAGGGCTCATTTGCAGAGGTGAAGGTGTACTCTGTGGGTCTTTTTGCAGTGGTTTCCTGTTTAAAACTAGAAAACTACACCATTCCCAGGAAGGGGTTGTCACTAAAACTCCCCATGGACCCCCGAATTTGTCTGAACTACCTCCCAGGATCCTTTACTGCACCTGTAATAGCGCAAACCACGGTATGACAATACCCTGATCATTACCCCTTTTTCTCCTACTTTACTTTCAGTAGAAGTAAAGAAAAGAGTTGCAGAAGTGAGGTCTGGTTGGCATTGAGAGATAGGAAGAGCTCCTTGGGACGAAGCCTTTGAAATGATTCCAAAACTCGGATGAAAATAGAGAGGAGAAATGATGAAGTAACAGAAAGCTTGCTTCTGATTTGCAGGTTTCACAGATGTTTGCTGTGAGGCACAAACAGCTGTGGCCGATTTCGCAATTGACTCCTGAGACCAAACACTGGTGTACGAGCAGTTTGTTCCTTGATCTTACGTCAAATCCACCACCTCCCTCTCTGCACAGCTCTCTTTTGATATAAAAACAGAAAAAAATAGACAAATTCTCATATCAAACATTTTTTGTCTAAACTGCTGCCTAAATCAAGCAGAACAGCTGTTTCCATGTTTGCTTCAGATCCAGCCGCTAGACGCCGTGCTCCTGGCTTCTGTCAAGTCCAGAAATTACGCCTATCATTCAGTGGTGTCTACCAGCCCGCTGCTCTACCTCACCCACCCGACCTCAAGGCCCCTGAGAAGACCCCTCACGGTCACACTTCCATGTCCCCCAAATCCTGCAAAAAAGAAAGCAACAAGGGGACAAACAGAGAACCAACAAGACCAACAAAGTCAACCTGTCAGGGATTCTCCCCCATGGGATCATTCACCTTCCCACAGACTGAGGTGACACAGATATCCTTGAACTAAAATATATTATATATGTGTCACAGCATCATATAAATAGGGATCTTAAAAGGTTTTGTTTCTATGACAGATTCATGGACACCTCTGTGAAATCAAAGGAAATGTCCAATGAGTCGCTGGTTGTTCTGGGCTCAAGGGACAAACAGTGGAGTGTCATGGATAAAGTCACCGTCAGAAGCCTGCAGAAGGGACTGGTGTCCTTTGACCTGATGGAGAACTTTGACAGGTTTGTACCACCACATTTTCTCCTCTTAAAATAATGACACCTGCAAATGGAAATAGGCAGTTTAACTTTATTTAAAAAGACAACAAAGTCAATTGTAGTGCAGGACGGCAAGGAAGTAAATAAAAACATGTCTGCCATTGACTATATATAAAACAGCACCTTCTGGGACTGGAAAATTAAGCCAATGAGTGAGTGTCTTAACTCTGAACTGGCTTTAATGGGCACCAAGGCATGACGCCATCGACTGCATAAAAGCTTCCAGTCCTATTGACGTTTTGGCAGACAGCTGCTGAACAATGTTCACATGATGTCAAATGAAAAACCACAAGTCTGTGAGCTTCCTGTCTGTACCCATGTCCACATTTTCCTGTTGAGTTTATGAGATCAGCCACTGGTTTTGAATAATACGTCAATTCTGTTGTGTTTGAGTTATTTAGTGTCAGAAAGGAGGATTATCCAGAATAGGCTCATTGGCTGATGATTTGTGATTGGCAAGTCAGTAGCCAATGAGTGTGCAGTTTCAGTAGTGATGACGTCAACCATTGTCCATCTTCTGTATACAGTCTAAATTGCACACAAGTAGATACACGTTTAATATATATACATATTGGGTTTTTTTTTTAAAGCCAGTAGAGAGGTGTTTGAGTTGTTGGGAACAATAAAATGATAAATGGGATCTGCAGAATGAGCAGTGATTATTATTTGATATGAAGCAGAGAGGAGACAGTGTGCTAGGTAATTATTAGAAATGCACTTTGAAGCTCTGAAGCCACCTGTATGGAGGTAAAACCAAATGTAAGATGGTTTTCGGTCATGTTGGAGGGATAAGCAACGATTTGAGGTTGCACGAAGAAGTTTGAGCCTATTTGTTAAGAGTTACGGTAGATTAGCATCTCTGTGACACAGGTTGACTCTGCTGATGTGTTGTCGTACACTTCAGCCGAACCACATCACTGCACAAAGAGCAATGTGAGGCAGGAGCATCCAAAGCAGAGCCACGGACAGAACAGATACCCACAGAGCGAAACTTGTCGGGCGGCGCTCATTTGCAGCATCGTTTCTTTCAAAGCCAAGGCCGATTTGTCCTGTTTGTCCATCCAGCAAAATAAATACCTGAAAAAGATAATACTGTGTTCAAAAGCAGGCTCCTAACAGCATTCTCCAACAAGATTTCAAGTAAACGGTGATCATTTCTTACTATATCTCCCCTTGCGTGTGCATTTCTGCCAAACTCAACAAGCCACTTGTAGTTTATTCCAAGGCCTGAACGTTTTCAGCCTGATGTCGTTGGCTCTAATGTGCAGTTTCAGAATTCGCTGGCGCTTCGAACAACACAGGAAGATGTAATAAATCCTGCACCTGAATGCAGAAGGGCAAAAGTTCACACGCTAGAGCTACCTGAAGTGAAACTTTTCGTATTAGTCAAAAGCGTAGACACGTCCAAACGTGGGATATTAAACTGTGAACAAAACAAATGACATTTGAAAATGACTGCAAAAAGAAATAAGGCAGTGCCGTCTTTAAGGAAATCTAAAACATGAAACATGTCGTTCTGTACCTTTTTTTTTGAGATCCAGTTGGCAGGCTTTGACTCCAGGTTTGTTGGATTGTCAGGGGAACCGAGATCTCCCTGTAAAACCTTAAAATAGTCAATTTCTCTCAGTCTTGTCACGTCAAGAAGACTGCTGAGACTGGAAACATGTGGAAGTCTATTAAAAACATGTACATTTGTCCCATTTATGTATATGTAAGCAGCACAAACCGAGGAACAGTTTTCCCAAACCTCTCAGTGAAGTGCAGATGTTTCAGTTTTTGTTTTACCAAAGACTTAACCTGCAAGATATGAAGGAGCACATAATTAGAATAGAGTAAAAGTCTGTTTGATTTGGCAGTGCATTTAACTAAAAATGGGATCAGTGGTGTTTAAAGCTCTCTTGGACTCTCCTAGAGTAGCTATACATGCAGATTCTTATCAGAACTGGACTTAAAGGACTTTCTTACAACATATTTTTGACATCTGTTGCCTACGAGGTTGATGAGAGTGTGTGACAGGCGCAGCAGGTTGTTGGGGTTATGAGCTGTCCTCACAGCCAAGTCAACAGTGGCTGCAATCAGGAGTCCCCCAACCATGTAGATGGCATAGAAAACAGTCCCCCTGACCACACAGTGACAGTAAGAGACACAGGATCAAGGAACAAAGTCCTCTAAAACTCATAAATCCTTACTTGTGAACAATCAGCGCTGGTGGAAACATGATGATTGTGCAGCTGTGCAGGAAAAACTTTGCAGCTGTGGGACCCCTGCAGCAGAAATACATTTATAATATATAATGGCATTTTTGTGCAGCACATTCAGAGATGCCCTTCTGCACACCTTGGTTGTAATGGGTGGTTATTTGATGTTACTGTTGCCTTCCTGTCAACTCAAAGCAGTCTTGTCCTTGTCCACTGACCTCTGTCATCAACAAGGCGTTTTCTCCCAGATGTTTTCTCTTTTTCAACAACCCAGATGTTTCTTTATTTCACTTTACTTACACGGCAGCGAACGTAAGCAACAATCCTCGAGTTAATTTGGTTCAGTGAGGTTATGTTGCACTAACTTCCAGAGCGATTAACATTTCCTCTGCTTCAAACAGGAGAAAACAAATTATTTCCTCACTCACGGCTCTGCTGTACCTCACCGGTACCTTTCATGTATTCTCAACATCACGTCCATGTCTTAAGTGCCAGCATTAAAAAAAATAAAAACAAAAGATAAATGCTACACTACGCTACAACAAACCAGACTTACAGAAAGCTTTTACTTTACATAAGGGGCTTAAAGCAAGGCCGCATGGATAAAG